GGCTCCAGGCTGATGGCACAGGGTGAGGGTCCTCCCCTCCAGAAGCCAGAAAACGGGGCAAAGGGGCCGGTTGAAGAGGGCATGGAAGGTGTGCAGGAGCTTAGTCTGCGGCTCCAGGCTGTAGAAAGCAAGGCAGCCTGAGGTCAGGTCCAAATCCATGCCCACCAGCCGCCCAGACAAGCTGGGGAGGCGCTGGACCTCTCCCTTGTGCCAGGCCTGGACGCTGTCTTCCTGTACGCAGAGGCCCCAGGAGGAGGGCCCACGGCCGATGTTGTCTGTGTGGGTTCCCTGCTTGCGCCGCATCAGTTCTGGGTAGGCGACGCCCAGGGTCACTGAGTGGCCAGAAGTCCGCACCTCCCAGTAGTGCCGTCCAGCCTGGAAGCTCTGGGAACACTGCACCTGCCAGAGCTCAAAGTTCCCTGGCCGGGCTGGGCCCTGGGGCTGGCGATGGTGCTTCACCTGCTGGTTCTGGTGGGACAGGAGGAAGTGGCGATTGGCACTATCTGGGTCAAAGGTGAGATTGCGATAATCTGTTGGGGAGAGATGGACAGAAGTAAGTAAAGGTGCCATCCTATCCCCAGGGGCGGGGGGTGAGCAACCACCAAATGTCTGCCAGGCTGAGCACTGGGTGTCTTGGCAGCATTTAATCCTTACTGCTTCTTCGGAGGTGGAATCGTCTATGAGCTCCATTTCATAAGTGAGAAAACTGAGGCTCACGGCTCACAGATAAGCTAACTGGGTATCAAGTGAGAGACAAATCATGATAGATTAATGTCTATGTGATCAGAATCTGTCCTTTAACACTATGCTGGTTGCACCTGCTGCAGGGTAGATGTGGACGCGGTGTGTATCCTGCAATAGGTATGCACGGGAAGGACCAGAGGACAGATGACCCACACAGGACAGTCACAGCAGGCGCCTGCTGACACGCTCACACGTATGCACAGACATGCATGCACAGTACACACAGACAGGCCTTGGGCCTCCTTACTCTGCCAGAGTTCCCTCCTCAGCGGACACAGCATGCGTGTGCTTGGGACCTGTGCCAGGGGACGCGGGGCCTCTAGGGAACAAAGCAGTATTAGGGGAATGGATGTGGAGGCCAGCAAGGCAGACCCCTGGCCTTTTCTGCCTCGTAGTGGGAGGAACAGCTGGGCCCAGACAGGTAGGGAGAGGTCTGGGGTCAGCCTTACCCACAGGGCCCGAGTCAGCAGCCTTGGCTGGCACTCTGGAGGGGTGCCCCTCTTCCAGGAGAAGGCCACAAAGCAGGCTCAGCAACTCCTTTAGGTCACCCAGCTGCTGGTCTTCATCCCACTGTGGAGGGGTCAGCGGCCCAAGGGGTTCTGGGGGCTCAAAGAGCTGCTGTGACTCCTGAGAGTCCCAGCGAAAACCACAGTGAGCCCAGGTACAAGGGGAGGGAAGCCTGGCCCCGGTCCACTGCCCTCAGGCTGGTACCTGCAAGAAGGTCTGGTCATCCACTTGCTCCAGGAGACCCTGTACCCTGCGGCCATACTGAGCCAGGGCCTCCAGGTGGCTGTGCAGCCGCCGCTCCTCATCCTGGGCCTGTGTCAGTGCCTGCGTCTTGGCAGTCTCGATGCCTTTCAGTGCCATGGCCCTCCGAATCTCCAGGGCCTGCAGCAGGCAGCTGAACTTGCCAGAGACCACTGAGATCAGATTGTAGGCTGAGTTCTGTGTGGGCACAGGAGGAGCATCAGGGTGGCCAGGGCCTGAGCCACGCCAAGGCAGACCTGGGTTCAGGTGTAGGATACAGAGAACCTCTTCCCCCTGGGGCAGAATCCTGCCTAGGCCCTTACTCCCTGCTGCCAGGAGGTGTTTTCAAGATGGCTCACATATCCAGGGACCATCTGCTGGCTGTCCATAGGACAGTAGGAGGATATAGTGGGATGGTCACTGGCAGGCCTCCTACCTGGATCTGGCTGCTTTGTTGCTGCAGCTCCTGGAGCTGGGTCTTGACCTGAGTGGCCTGCTGCTGGGTGATCTCCAGCTTGGCTCTCAGCTGGGCCTGTGGTGCTCATCCAGGGGATGAACAAGAGAGGGCCAGAATTGGCTGTGAAATCTCCCTGAGACTATCACCACCACCACTAGCAGAAGCTGGGCACCCTCTGCATGCTGCCCAAATCTGGGGTGACCAGAGGGTTAGCACACAGCAGCAGCCTCAGCATAAGCCTAGGAGAGCAAGGTCAAACTCCAGGGAGGCCTGGACAAGGCCTCAGCTTCCACTGTTGCAGATGGTGCACGGGCAGCACAGAAGCCTTGGGTTAAAGACCCAACTTCCAGTTCCTGCTTCACTTTTGCCTCTTGAAGTGTGAGCAAACTGGGGCAGAGCCTCTACCTCTGTGGGCAATAGCCTCTTCTCCACCCGCAAGCAACAGATGGGAGCAATCCTGCTGGTGCAGGAAAACCGTGGGGAAAGGGCATCTGACAACGTTCAGAGCTGTCTGACAAGTGGGTGCTCCGGTGCCTATGGGCCCAAGTGGGAGGAGGACCTCTATTTGGTTGCGCTGATTCCCTTGAGGAACAAAATGGGTTCTCATGGGAACAGGAGACCATGCTGATGCCAGGAGTCCCTGTTCCCCGGCCACTGCTAGGACTGGTTCCTTGTACCTGGTCAAGACCCTTACTACTCGATTCTGCTCCTCCCAGTACCGTTCTGAGGTGGGACCAGTATCCACTGATAGGAAACGGGCCCAGAGAGGCTGACAATTTGGTCAGTTCTCAGAGCTTTCTAAGTCTAATACTTGTGGCTTCTGCCCAGACCTTCTGCCTCCAGCATTACAACCCGCTGGGGATGTCCAAAGTGAGGGGACAGCCCCTCTTGGCTCACTCAACCCTCCCTGAAGGACAAGCCTCTGTTCCCTTACCCCTTGGGTATTCTCTCCAGCCACCCCATGGCACTCCCCTTCCCAGTAAAACTCTGCTCCTCTGGACCATGTGCCATTTGGCAGAAACTCCTGCCCTGGCCCTGCTCCTTGTAGCAGTGGTCTCATGGTCTCTGCTGCAGACTCGGGGGCCTAGCTCAGTCTCCTGTGCCTGCCATGAGCAGAAACATCTCACCCTCATTCTCGGTGGCTTCAGCAGCCACAGGGATCACCCTCCAACAGCCTTCTTTCCATCTTAGCCACTCACTCCTGTGACCTCATGACAACCCTAGCCCCAGATCCGAAATCTCTATTCCAGGCATTCATTTTCTGACCACCACCTCCTGTCCCTTACTTGTTCCAGCCCATTTGTCCCCCCATCTTCCCACCTTGGCATGCCCCAAGTAGGCAACCCTCTGCCTCCCCGTCCAATGGGCCTCCTGGCCACCATTGCACCAGCACCCTGCCGCTCCTTAGAACACCCTCTGTCTGCCCCATCCCCAGATAATTCATTCCAACATCCTCCCTGCTGAAATGGCTACGGGCAAGGGCACCAGACACTAATGGTGTCAACCTGAAAGCCATTTTCATCCTCTTACCTCCTAGCAGCACGGAGCACCCCAGATCACATTCTCCTTCCTGCAACCTACTGTCCCCTGCCACCATGCCAAGCACTCTCCCAGGTAGCTCCTGCTTGGTTTGATCGCAGGCAGGGCTTCCTCTATCCTGGGCTCAGCAGAAGACCCCACTCCTTTCCGGGACCATCTTTCTCCTTCTTGTACAGCTTTCCTTGAGATTGCAACAGATGCCTATGATCCCTCTCCTGGTTTGTCCTACTGGTGTCCCCAGTCCCAAACTCTGCTCTCCACTCACACTTCTCAGCACACTTTAGCCCCAGCACTTGCTCAAGACAGAAACCAAGTCCCTAGCTGCCCACCTCCACAAGGGACTGTGACTTTTACTCATGGATTTTCCTCTCCTGACTTCGGCTTCTCCTTGTCCCTAAATTCCTGTTGTGGACCTACCTACTTGGGTCTCACCTCCTGCCCATTCCACACCCCAATAGGGATCAATCTTCACAAAGCTGAAGTGGAATCTCATTGATCTCCTATTCCAAGCCTGCAAGGGTTCCCCACCCCGGTTTCTACAGAGAGTGGGCTCCTCACCAGGCCCCTCTGCCTCTCATGGTCTGGCCCCTGCTGACCTGGAAGGCCTCCAGGAGTGCCTGTTCTTTCCCACCCACTGACTGTGGCCCAGGCTGCCTGGCACCTGGATGCCCTTCTCCAGATCCTTTTC